CTTGTCTCTTTCTTATCTGTGCCTGGGATAGCCAGCTAAGTCCTGGCAGGCTTTATGGCGCCTAAGCCTGCCTAGTGGCTGTGCCTATATAAACTAGGCCTAAACTCACGAATGATATTTTCAGCTATTGTATGATATTCCTCTCATGAATAAAATTTAGGCTTTTTGAGATTCGCGAAAGTTTAATGTCGCGAAAACGGCCGAAATCATCCATTCGCGAAAGTTTCTGGTTTACAGTATCTATTTGGCTAGGCCTATGTATGAAGAATACAGTATGTAAAAATATCAACTTTTTTACAGCTCAGTAGTTGATTCTGAAAAACTGTTTTTAAAAATGTGATGTAGAAAAATGCCATCAAATGGGCTTAAAAAACTCTAAAACCCTGGAGCCCAATGGCGCTTCACCCCCTTGACCCCCGACCAGGGCTCTGCCCCTGGACCCCGATGGGGGGCCTAGGCGGCCTCCTAAACCCTCGGCCTATTTCAATTTACTCTCCTGTTACTTTCAAATTTCTCCTGCTACTCAAATTCATAAATAAACCCCTGACTGTATGTATGCGTCTTTTTTAATTTGTAATCACTTGTTATGAATGGTAAATTGTTGTGTGATGGCTTGGTATGTGCGATGCTGTATGGGTACTTTATCTCTAATAACCCATCACCACAACATTGGCAACTAATTAGTCCGTCAGGGCTAGCACCAAGATAGATCATACTATGGCAAACGAACAGTCCACAATCTTTTAACTGGAAGTCTTGGTGTTTGGTATTGTTTAGTTCCCCGTAAACCTTGCTGGCCTCTTTCTCCATTTCGCATCCATACTTTATCGCTGGTATGTGCGAAATCACACTTGTTCGCCCCATTAGCCGATTGATGAGTGATGTGTAGATGACGTCCTGCTTACCTTTTGATCGCGTTCTATCTCTTGTCAAAACGTCATGAACAAATGATGCTGTTATCCGTCCTTTACGATAATTAAACCAATTAGAATTTCCGGCGAGTAGCTTCCTCTATGAATTTGACATCATTGTTCGTGTATTCTGGTAAGTTCGCTACAAACTCGCTAGGTGATGAGGCTTCCTGTGCAAGTGTTGGTAATGGTTGGGGAATGTCCAACGCCACTACATCTTCGTAGTGCTCTACATTGCACTCGGCAGATGGATCTTGGGCACTGGGCATTTCATCTGGGATGTTGGCATATTGAAAGGCACAGGCATCCTTAAACTCTGAGTAGAACACTTTAACAAGTGAAGAAGTTGACGACGTAGGCTGCATCGACCTGTATCCGAGTGGCGAAAAGAGCTTGCGTAACTTGGGGTTTATCCCTTCGCTTGAGTCAACTTCACCTAAAAAACACAACACAATACAATATTTAAGCATATTTTTAAATAGATGCATACACATCTCTATACTTAACTCGGTTGGTCCCCTTTACAGCACGTTGTTAAAGTTATTTTCTTGTTTCGGTTAGTCTTACTATTTTGGCTTCAACAATGAAACGCTAATGACGCTTCTACTTGTTTGTTGGTCTTGTTTTGTAATTACCCAAAATAAAATCCACAACAATTTATATTACCTTGCTTAAAGAATTTCGGTTGGCTCTATGTTAAGTCTGCTATCCTCCTGGGTTCCACATTATTTTTGCCAGCAAACGCAGACCATACACATTCTCTTGATGTACAGGCAGGATTCGTGATTCCATTTCGCCAAGCAAAGTCCACCTTGAACAGCAAGGCAGCAACATGGTTACAGGTCGTGCTATATCTAAATATACAAAGAAATATTTATGAGAATACATATTTAATAATAGTATACACATACCTGTACATATATCACATCGTTGGTCAACACACACATACCGTACACACATGCAATAGTTTAAAGCTGCCAATATGATTAAAAATTTATAAATTCTATAAAATGAATTCACACGACTGACACATCTTTAAAATTATTTAATAAAAATTAACATTTGTCATATTTTATTGTGGCCCTTTTTTATTTGTTGAATACATTTATTATATAGTGTAAGCATGGACCTAGGTCCATGGTTTCAGAAGGCAGACAGACAGACAATTATTAGGAATATTCAACACTCACCCTGCAAAACATGTACAAAATGCACTATGTATATGGCCAGAAACTTTTTCTATAGCGATCCACACACTCCATGGAACGTCTTTAACTCGTTGGGATGGGACACATTTTGATCTAAGGAAACAATATTTATTATTTTGTTCAATGCCATGGTATTCAATGTCCTTCATCCAGCCTGAAGCGAAGTAGCTGTAGGCTTTCTGTTCTTTGTAGTCCGACATCAGGCGTTTGCCGAGCGACACATCGTCTATGTTGCTAATATAGTTGCCGATGTCGATCGCCATTGTCGGCGGCCATTTACTGACGGAACTTGCCTCGGACTCCCAATCAGTCAAATCTTGTGGGTCGGGTAAAACTCCATTGTCTGGGGTTTTCAAAAGGTCTTGATAGCCTTTTAGTTTTGTAGCTGCCTTCGTAGCTGGGGAGCTGGGCGCCGGTACCAACGCTGGCATCAACTTCGCCGCATACACCAAGGCAACAAGCTCATCTTTTCGGCCTGAAACTTTCAACTTTCTGCTTCGAAGGAAATCCTTTAAAGCTTGAACATTCCATAGCTTTATATCATCGATTGTTACTTCTTCATCGTCACTCATTGTGTTCCGATTAAAAGCAACAATATACGTAAAATTCAATAGATTTGTGTGTAAGCTTTGTTCGTTTGCTGCTGTGCAATTTTAATGAAAACATGTGTCGCGACCGCAAAGCTAGGCTTTGTTTATCACAAATGACCTTATGACCCGTGATGTCACGCACTACACTAACTAACTATGAACTGGCTTTTATTAACAGATTTGAATAATTGGTGATCCGCATCTAGTGCGGATCACCTCTTGTTATTGTCAGAGATCTTTTTTTTTTATTCTACATTCTGACAAATAACTGTTCGCACGATATCTCAAATTTGCCGAGAGCTACGCAGAAAACGACTACAACAAATATTTGGCTTGGCCTGGAATAGTGACAATAAGCTATGCAAGGTTACCAGTCACGTGTGATGTCATCTACGCGCATTTTTGTGTTTTTTACGCAATTGATTATATCAGCCTAACCAATTGACATTTCGAAATCGTATTACGTGAGCATTAACTTCGAGTGAAGGTTGATTGTAATGTACTCATTTTTCGCGCGTTATGAAGCGAATGCGCGCGTCAAAATTTGAAAATGGTTGAAATCAATTTTTGACTAAATTAGAGCATGTTTTAAGCCATTTTGAGCATTTCAACATTTTTAAAATTTTCGGCACCGCGTGCGCATTTTTACGCGCGCATCAGGTACAGAAGTTAAAAATATTGTTTTTTTAAATGTTTTAGGTCCCTGATACTGTATTCACAAAATTCCAATCTTTTTTGGTCATTTAGGGTCAATAGCAATGCCGTACGCGCGCATAGAACATAAGAACACATGTGCGTGTTTTTTTCAACATATAGCAAAAATAGGCCAAAAACATGTCTATTTTCAATCAATTATAGCTCCTTAGAATGAAAGGTGACCCCCAATTTTTATTACATATTCTGAAAGCACATGAGTTGTACATATGATTTTATAGGTCATAATGGCTGATCGGACATTATGACGTCATCATATTGCCATCTGAATTCAACAAACTGAATATTATCGATGTCGACATTTAAAAAAAATGCGCATTTGAGCATATCTCGCTTATTCTTGGTTGATTTTCTTCCAACTTTGAGTATGTTATAGCTAAGTCAATTCTCTTTCATATACGTACACTTTTTCACATTTTGATGACGTCATCATGGTGAAAATATGGGGTTTTGCTTATCCCCCTCATCTTTCTTTCGTCAAACCTTTGGAGAACCCATAATCACCTTAATCATTCGTGATTTCTGAATCATATTTAGTGGGCATAAACTTCAGGTCATGGTTAAATGTTATCTACATTATATTTTTGTGTGCGCGTAATAACGCGAGCGTTCGCGTGCGTCAAAATTAAAATATGCTTTATATCAGGTCTTTTTTTAATCAGTTATAGCTCCTTAGGATGAAAGGTGACCCCCAATTTTTATTACATATTCTGAAAGCACATGAGGTGTAGATATGATTTTATATATCATAATAGCTGATCGGACATTGTGACGTCATCATATTGCCATCTGAATTAAAAAACAAGAAAAAATGTATATTTCTTTTCTCAAAACGTTGATGACGACATATCATCTTAACCATTTGTCATTTCTGAATAATATTAAATGGGCTTATACTTCACGTCAAGGTTGAATGTTAGGTATCTTACTTTTTTCTTTGCGCGTCTTAAAGTGCGCGTACGCGTGCGTCAAAATATTACTTATGCTTATAATTATGCCTATTTATCATCAAACATAGCTCCTTAGGATAAAAGGTGACCCCCAATTTTTATTACATATTCTAAGAGCACATGAGTTGTAGATACGATTTTATAGATCATAATGGCTGATCGGACATTGTGACGTCATCATATTGCCATTTGATTTTTTTTTTTTAAATATATATATTTCCTTTCTGAAAACGTTGATGACGTTAAATCAGCTTAACCATTCGTCATTTCTAAATAATATTAAATGGGCTTATACTTCAGGTCAAAGTTGAATGTTAGGTATCTTACTTTTTTGTTTGCGCGTCTTAACGTGCGCGTACGCGTGCGTCAAAAATTACATATGCTTATAATTATGCCTATTTATAATCAAATATAGCTCCTTAGGATGAAAGATGACCCCCAATATTTATTACATATTCTAACAGCACATGAGTTGTAGATACGATTTTATAGATCATAATGGCTAATCGGACATTGTGATGTCATCATATTGCCATTTCAATTAAGAAAAAACTGACGTTAATACTTTTTATACTCGTTTGAACGTATCTCGCTTATCTTGATTGATTGTCTCCCACCTGTGAGTATAATATAGCTAATTCAATTCTCTTTCAGACGTGTCACTTTATTTTTCATTTTCATCACGTCAGTATGGTCAAAAAGAATTAATTTTAGGAGCCCTTTTATCTCTCATTCTTAAAAAATGTAAAGAGATAGAACAGAGAGAGGGCGGCCGACTGTATTTCGACGCTATCAGACTGATATATATATATATAGGTTATATGAAGAGAAAATTTGTGTGGCATTACCAACTAACAGGCGGCTTTAAAAACACTTGACAATGTTTAATTTCGTGTGCCATTACTGTACACGCACACATCGTGACGTGCGCGTCTGTTAAAATTTGAAAATTCTCCATATCACTATTCAGATAGTTCAAAGAACGTTTCGGGTCATTTCAGCGTTCCTAAACTTTCCATATTTACGCGCCATACGTTCATTTCCACGCACGCAACGCGTACGGATGCTGGAAATCACGTTTGTTGCATACTTTGTGTTCCTGACACATTATTCAAGTCAGGAGTCACTCTTTGTGCCATTACCATGCTCACGGGCGTCAAGACGTACGTGTACGTATGCGTAAATTGTTCAAAATGCTCAAAATTATTCTTTTTTAAAAAACTAATTACAGCATATCTTAGCATATTAGGACACTTTTCAATCAGCACCGCGTGAGCTTTATCAGGGTCAAAGTACGGCGGATCACCTAACTCGTCCTCAGTGACGAGTTCAAATCTAGTTTGTACTAAATCCAGCTATCAATACTTAATTGGGCTGTTTTACAATCAGGGAACACAAGTATGTTTCATAGAGGGTCAATATTGAGGCATGTTTTTTATGTTTATTTTGGTTTACGTATATCAAAACGCCATGTTCTAGCGTTTTTATATGGCTGCATGTACGGGGCGCCGTTTGGGACATGTATAATTATGTTACAATTTTTACTTTAAAGAAATTCTGTAACTTCAGAAGAAATTGTGTATACAGAATTTTATCTTTAACTACAGAATTTCTTTACAGTAAAAATTGTGTTCACAGAATTTTATTCTGTAACTACAAACTTAAATTCTGTCTCCACAATTTCTTCAGGGGAAAAAAATCTGTCCACAGAATTTTTTCCCTGAAGAAATTGTGTAATCATGCATGAACAGCAATGGCCAATCAAATGGAGCTATTTTTTTTGTTTTTACAACATAAGGAATATTCCACTGGTGGTTACACAGTGTAACAAACCTCTTCACAATCTAGGCTTAGCAGGATCCATCTTTAATTCAGGTGACTAGTTTTTTTTGTGTTTTTTTTTCTAGTTTTTTTTTACATCATTGCTGAAGTTACAGAATTTCTTAATTTTCACAAACACCTTGTTTTAAATATCTTGCAACATTGACAGATTTATTTTATTATAATTTATTTAATTATGCCAAAATTACATGAGATGTGCCAAGAGGACACCATAGGCTGAGAGCCCATACAATAATACTTCGGTATCCTCTAGCCTTTGTGCCAAATAAACAAAACAACACGGAGGCAGAAAAAATAGCCTGTAAAAAGACTGAAATTACCTCTTTGATGGTCTCAAAATACTCCCGAGGAATTATATTATCTTCTCCGGCCACATGGTGCATACCAGAAATGAAAAGCTGTATCGGTGTTCTATTGTTTGCGGTTCTCTGCTTATGGTGATTCCATGACTGTACAAACCTATCCAGCATGTTGTTAATTCTTGGTCTGTATACATAATGCAAACAAAACAAATGCAGTGTATTGTCTGGGACCAATATCCCATCTTCCTCCATATCATGAAACAAATCTTGGAAAATGGACAAAACCGCCTGAAATACATCTCGCCCTAGCCTCTCTATTCGGGAGTTGCGCATACTTTTGCCAGTTATGTAGCTGCTACGCCCTGGCCCCCTTTTAGGGTGATCCAGCATGCATCTGGCCACATCTCGGTTTTCCACGCCCATATCTCCACGAACACGTGATGGCAGCCCCCAGCTACCTACTGCATCCTTAAAACATGACAAAACTGTACTGGATGTGTTATCCGTGTTGCACCTTAGGTACACTACTGCTCTACTGTATCCATCAATACATCCATGTACCACAAAACGCCACCTAAACATAAGTAATGAGCAGCATTCAAATTTAATTTTATTAGGAATCACCAGTACTGTAATAATACCAATGAAAAGTAACATCAAATGATTAAATCCATTCATTTGTATCAACTCGGTTAGCCATGCAGTTTTGCAAACTTAGTGTAGATCGATCAGCACTAAAAATGCAACATCTATAAAAACGTTACACAACAGTAAGGCGCGATCTACAAATTATCCCCAACGACAGAAACGCGTCTGGGAAAACCATGTATTACAAACGCGTCTGGGAAAGCGATCGTCTAATTATCGTGCCTCATGAATATTAATAAGCTAGTCGGAATATGTTCCAGACGCGTCTGCCATTGTTTCTATTGTTTTGGGCGACAAACGCGTCTGTGTCGTTAGACCAGGCCCCGGTTGAACTACCGTTTTTGTACAATTTAAAATACTGAACAGGTTTTACTTTGAAATGAACCAAGTCCTAATAGTTGAATTAAGTGGTAAATGACGATAATGGCAGCACATGCATGTAGCCCTAATTGCCGTTTGCTCTGTCGGAAAGACCTATCTTCGTTAAATAGCAGCCTACCAGCTAAGAAGCTGACGACGAACGAAAAAACATTTATCAACTCCCTGCACACATATCACATGGGAACACAAATGAACGCCAGTATTCGCCAAACATCATTCAATAAACTATAGAGAAAATAGAACATCTATTTTCTCTATTATTAAACGTAGGCATCATTATATATTATATACAGCAATAGGCCCATGCAACTACTGTACAATTAATATTGGGTACCTCGTGTGTGTGGATGTGATCAGTCCAACAGAGTACGCAACATCACGTGACAAATGACTGTGTGACCGGTGTTGATCTATACATGGAGGAAAGAACTTTCCTCCTTGGTCTACAGAAATTCGCTTTGAGCGCCGCTCTGATAGAAGTGGGTCAGTTGAGATGCTAACAATAGGACGTTCGATGGAGTGCCTGGATGCCAGTTTAAAG